GGCACTCGAATTGAAGTGACCATGAAAGCCGTGGAGAACGTCACGGCTGGACAAACAAATACAGGGTCCAACAAACTAAGATTCCCAGAACCTAGAGCCTTTAAAGGGAATCGGGACGCCAAAGAGTTAGAAAACTTCATCTTTGATGTCGAACAGTACTTTAAAGCCACAACGGCTTGTACTGACGACAAGAAGGTGACCGTAGCTTCGATGTATCTCACAGACGACGCCAAACTGTGGTGGCGTACGAAGGTGCAAGACATCGAGGATGGATTGTGCACCATTGACTCGTGGGAGGACTTTAAGAAAGAGTTGAGGGACCAGTTCCTCCCCGAAAACGCATGACATTTAGCAATGGAAAAGCTAGTAGCCCTGAAACACACTGGAAGCATACGAGACTATGTCAGACAGTTCTCAACCCTGATGCTCGATATCAAGGGCACATCAGAGAAGGACAAGGTGTTCTTCTTTATAAATGGGTTGCAACCGTGGGCCAAAACAAAGCTACACGAGAACAAGGTCCAAACCCTAGCCGCCGCAATGGCCTGTGCCGAGAGACTCCTAGACTATGGGAACGAAGCGGGATCCCAAAGGAGAATAACACCAGCCCCAAACACTGGTGGCAAGCCATACAAACCACCAAGTCATCGAAATGGAAGCCCCAACAGGCCGAACGGAGGTAACGACAGACCAAGCGGATGGACGGATAGACCTCCACAGAATAACCAAGCAGGGACATCTCGAGGACCTTACCATCAAAGGAACCACCCGACGACGCCGTTACAATGCATGCTCTGTAAAGGTCCCCACAAGGTATCTTACTGTCCTCATCGGGCCTCTCTCACTGCGCTCCAAGTTTCCATTCAAGAGAGCAATGACGCAAAGGTTGAGACTATGCTTGACAAGAAGGAAGATCAAGACAATCCCCGAATGGGCGCACTTAAATTCTTGTCAGCTCTCCAACGGAAGGTCGAATCGAAGGAGATAGTAGAGAAAGGACTCATGTTCGTAGATGCGACAATAAATTTCCAACCGAATAGGAGCACTCTGATAGATTCAGGAGCGACCCACAACTTTATCGCTGATCAAGAAGCCCGAAGATTAGGACTCACTATAGGAAGGGACCCGGGAAAAATGAAAGCTGTCAACTCTGAGGCCTTGCCTATTGTGGGAGTTTCCAAATGAGTCCCCTTTAAAATAGGGGATTGGACAGGAGAGCTAGATCTTGTCGTAGCTCGCATGGACGACTTTGACGTGGTACTTGGGATGGAGTTCCTCCTAGAACAAGAAGTTATCCCAATGCCGCTGGCAAAGTGCTTAGTGATCACTGACCGCAACCCCACAGTAATACCTGCAAGCATCAAGCAACCAGGTAATCTTCGAATGATCTCGGCCATACAATTGAAAAANGAACCAAGTTTTCTACGAATACTTGGATCAGTTTGTCATAGTATACCTCGACGACATAGTGGTTTACAGCACAACCCTAGAGGAACACAAAGTGCACTTGAAGCTGGTGTTCGACAAGCTGCGACAAAACCAACTGTATGTCAAGAAAGAGAAATGTGCATTCGCACAAACATGCATCAACTTCCTTGGACATGTCATCAGATGTGGACAGATTAGTATGGATAGCGATAAGATAAAAGCTATCCAAGAATGGAAGGTTCCTACTTCCGTATCCGATTTGCGGTCCTTCTTAGGATTAGCCAACTACTATAGGCGGTTCGTCGAAGGGTTTTCACGACGAGCCGCCCCATTGACAGAGCTGTTGAAGAAAGACCACACTTGGTCGTGGTCAGATGATTGTCAAATGGCCTTTGAAGATCTGAAAACAACCATGACGAGGGGTCCTGTCCTCGGATTGGTAGATGTTACAAAGCCATTTGAAATAGAAACAGACGCTTCCGACTTTGCCCTAGGTGGGGTCCTTATTCAAGAAGGCCACCCCATCGCTTTCGAAAGTCGAAAACTCAATGACGCCGAACATAGATACACTGTCTCCGAAAAAGAAATGCTGGCAGTAGTCCATTGCCTTCGAGTCTGGAGACAATATCTCTTGGGATCACAGTTCGTAGTGAAGACGGATAACAGCGCCATTTGCCACTTCTTTGATCAACCAAAATTGACGGCAAAACAAGCCCGGTGGCAGGAGTCGTTGGCTGAATTCGACTTCAAGTTCGAACACAAAGCAGGGAAGAGTAATCAAGCAGCCGATGCACTGAGTCGGAAGGGCGAACATGCGGCCCTGTGCATGTTAGCCCATATTCACTCAAGTAAGATCGATGGATCGATGCGCGACATCATCAAGGAACATTTACATAAAGACCCATCGGCCAAAGCCGTCGTCGAACTAGCTAAAGCTGGGAAAACACGACAGTTTTGGGTTGAGGGAGACCTTCTGATGACAAAAGGAAACAGGTTGTATGTCCCAAGAACGGGAGAACTGAGGAAGAAGCTCATTCAGGAATGTCATGATACCTTATGGGCCGGACACCCCGGGTGGCAAAGAACATACGCTCTAATAAAGAAAGGGTACTTCTGGCCAAACATGCGAGACGACATCATGCAATACACCAAGACGTGCCTCATCTGTCAACAGGACAAAGTCGAGAAAGCCAAAGTCTCAGGACTCTTGGAACCTCTACCTGTGCCGACACGACCCTGGGAAAGTGTATCTCTGGACTTCATAACACACCTCCCAAAAGTCGGGGACTATGATGCTATCTTGGTTATCGTAGACCGATTCTCAAAATATGCGACGTTCATCCCCACTCCCAAATTATGCTCGGCCGAACTCACAGCTCAACTATTTTTCAAACACATTGTAAAGTTATGGGGTATTCCGTCGAGCATCATCAGTGATCGGGATGGCAGATTCATTGGGACATTCTGGACCGAGTTATTCGCCTTCTTGGGAACAACCTTAAACATCTCCTCGAGTTACCACCCTCAAACCGATGGTCAGACAGAACGGTTCAATTGCTTGCTCGAAGAATACTTACGTCACTTCGTCGACGCTCGCCAGAAGAACTGGATACAACTGTTAGATGTCGCCCAATTTTGCTTCAATTGTCAAACCAGCTCGTCTACGGGAAAGAGTCCCTTTGAAATTGTAAGTGGACGACAACCGGCCTTACCCCACATTATCGATCATCCTTATGCAGGAAAAAACCCTCAAGCTCACAACTTCACAAGAGAATGGAAGCAGACAACAGATATAGCCCGAGCATATTTAGAAAAGGCTTCCAAGCATATGAAAAAGTGGGCAGACAAGAAGCGTCGCCCCCTTCAATTCCGAGCAGGAGATCAAGTCCTCATCAAGCTGAAACCAGAACAGATCAGATTTCGCAGCCGAAAGGACCAGAGACTAGTTCGCAAGTATGAAGGCCCGGTTGAAGTCCTTAAAAAGATCGGGACTACCTCCTACCGAGTTGCACTCCCCACATGGATGAAAATCCACCCAGTAATTCATGTGAGCAACCTGAAGCCATACCACCCTGACCCAGAAGACGACCAACGAAATGCAACCACAAGACCGGGCATCGATCTGAGGCAAAAAGAAACAAAAGAAGTAGAGGAGATCCTCGCCGACAGGGTTAGGAAGATAAGACGACCTGTACGGACGATTCGTGAATTCCTTGTCAAATGGAAGAATCTCCCTACAGAGGAAACCAGCTGGGAACGCGCCGAAGACCTGAAATCCGCAGCCACCCACATCGCCAGGTTTGAAAGTAGTCGGTTGACGGGGTCGTCAACCAATTAAGTGGGGGAGGATGTCACGGTCATGCTCGTCCAGGGCGTGTTGCCCATGGCCGCATGCCTATGGCAAGCCAAACCCTTGTCATGTCTTTTCATTCTAGTGTGTTTTTACTTCTATAGTTCTAGGGCGTATGACGCCTCAAAAATATCATGTCTAGGCCTGCCAGACATGAAATGTCTCAAAATGTACTATAGGGGGATATGACTAGTTGTCAACTTCTCCCTACCCAAGGTTATATATGCTAAGCCGTTGTTATCTCTCTCTTGTTTGCTTATATAACGTCTCTTTCAAAAATCTCTCTTTCAAAAATCTCTCTTTCTAAAATCTCTCTCTACCCTCGTTTTCCAAAACCTTCTTTTAAAACCGAGGCTAGAGGCTCGATCATACGTCGCTTGGCCGTAGGCGACGCAAGTACGAATTGGCTTAGCTCACTTGTCGTTGGAAAGTGAGTGCCGCACAATCGCTAGTCCGCTGCCTTTAAGAGTGCGATTGTGTCACTGGGCTGCTCACAGGCGTTGAGCTCGGGTTGCAAGGTTCAGTTTGTGGGCTGCAAACGATTATAGGTCGTTGGGTTGCAGAGCGTACCCGACCCGGATTCAGATCCAATGCATCCTTTCTTCTTCACCCAACAAATGAAAACATTTCTAATTTCACTTCTCTCTCTTTTCGAGGTATCATACCATCGTCCTCTTTCGTTTCTTAGCTTGAATCTATTTAATAACATATGCGAGAATTTAAATAAAACCACTTATACGTTTAATTTAAAACAAGAAATAGGAATAAGGTCGTCAAAATAACACCTTAACCTAATGTTTGAGTGCGAAAATGAAAAAGCCATCGATAAAACTATTAATGGAAAACCATGCATACTACTATCATATCTTTCACTTTCATGACCATTTCAGCATTTGGGGTAACTAATCTCGTCACTTCAGTATTTTAAGAAATACTAAAAAAACTAACTCATTGTTGGTTAGGTAATGCAAACACACGTATGGAAACCTACCTTTTAAAACCATAAAAACTAAAAAAAAAAAAAAAAAAAAAAATTGTTTTAAATAAAAATAAAATATTATTGGGTAAAATATTAATTTATATATTTTTAAATATTTAATTAAAACTATAAATTATTTCAATAAATTGCCGTTAAATATTTTTAACAATCAATTAGAGAATAAGTAATATTGAAAATAAAAAATATATATTTTAAAGTTATTAGAAGAAAACAATGTTTATTTGGGTTAATTCTCGTCGTTCCTCTCTTTCTGCACTGATTATCAATTTCCTTCCCATTCCAACTCTACAGAGGAGCCAGCAAAGTTGTGTTTACAATCTCCTCTCAGCAGCAGCAAATCTAGGGTTTTCTCGCCCCTTTTCTTTCGGTACTCCTATCATTTCTTTTTCTTTCTTTCATTTCAATTTCTCTGTCTTCTGATTTGACTGCTGCTAATATCTGTTCACGTTTTTCATAATTGAAGTACCGATAGGCGTTATTTTGTCCCACTTGGTGTTAATCTCTTCAATCTTCCAATTTTCGCTGCGGATTGCTTGTAATTGGGAAATTTGTTTTCGTTTATATTTTTTTTTCATTGAGTTACATAATTTGTTTTTGGATGGAGTATTCTGAGGCGAACTTTGTTCCAGCTTTCATTCAGCTTCTGCGTGTGCCTAAAGGTGAGCGACGAAAGAGGATAACAAATTAGGAATGCTGTTTGCTAATACGTGTAAATGTTATCTCATTATGTTGTCACTGATATCCTAAACGTTTAAAAAAAGGTAAAGATCGGATCGGACTATAGGGATAAAAACTTATGAATTGTTAGAAATACAAGGGCAAGGTACATTGGAATCAAAGAACCTGGGGATAAAGTATGAGGGAAGGAATGAATTTAGTAGTTTCCAAAACAAGATCGTACTTTCTTTTTAGTTCCTTGTTTGGTAATTTTTGTTTAACTTGCTTGAGTGTTTGGTTTCCTTGTCATGATCTTCAGTTTTTATTATAACCTCAGTTTATTACTTTCTCCTTTCAACTTTGTTTAGTATTTTGCTTTTGATATGATGAGGAAAAGGGGACTTTGAGCCCTTTTCCATTTGAAGTTTGGGAAAATCAATTTTCTTCAATCCTATTATTCTTTTCTAGACTAGTGTCTGAGCCCGTTTGTGCGAGAAAAACTCGGAGAATATTAAATCTTTGGTTGGTGGCTACTATGGCTTGAATCCATTTTCTCTTATTCCTTTATGATCTACAACATCCCTTATTGACCACTAAACCAACCCTATTATTCTCTAACTCGTATGAATCAAACAAAATGATACAATAAAAACTGTTGGTAAAATGCCCAAATGTAAATCAGCAGTTAAACTACACCTTTGTCATATATTCCCTACTTCAAAATAACTACATATTATAATTGTAGAATATAATTTACTTTCCAGACACCTTGTTAGTGAAATGGTAGACACATGAGACTCGAGAATATCTGATAGAACTCAATTTTTATTAATAAATGTAATTAGAGTGGTACATTGTCAATTTTTGGGTCCTTGGTGCCATTTCCATTTTTTGCGTTGATATGTTAGATTAGAAGAAAATATGTGTATGTAGGAATGGGCTTGATGCTGCAAATGAACTGAGAATAAGTAAATGTAAACGGAGATGGACTCATAGAAATGGTAATTGTGATACATGGAGAGGAAACCTTGTTGTGTTTATATTATCTAGAATTTTGATATCTCTTTTTTACTGATTTGTTTTTTCCCATGACTGGATGTGAGATTAGATTTGTTCTATGTTTAGATGAAAGTATCAAATATGACATTAAATAAGTAGGACAAACTCTGATGTCTACTAGCTTTCTAAGACATTATGTTCAAAGTTTTTATTATGGAGTACTTAATGAATTACTTTTTTCATGTCCTTGTGTTTTTGATTAACAACTTGAATAAAAGTTGCACTTTGGTTTGGCCAGAGCCTCAGAGGAGCCTTTTGCCTTTTGCTGCAGTGGCTGAGAAAATTAGAATCACACTAATTTCTACCTGAATGCGTCGCTTTGTCTTTGAAGATCACAGTGATAAACTGACTGTGGTTACATTAAATGTTTTGAACTAAAGAAAAACCATGTGAATATATAATTTTCTCCTTTTTTTCAGGTCTTCTCCATGGATCCAGAGGCTGCACGAACTGCTCGGGAATCGCTAGATCTCGCCTTTCATATTTCCAACATACTCAATACTGGGATTGATCGCCACACCCTCTCTGTCCTTATTGCTCTTTGTGACATGGGAGTGAATCCGGAGGCTCTAGCTGCTGTTGTCAAGGAACTACGTCAAGAGCCACCTTCATCAGAGGCCATCATCTCCAAGAACTCGCCATCACTTACCCGACCAACGTAACAAGTTTATTCTTCTGCTGGTTTCAAAGTTCACGTATACTTTCAAACCAGTACTTATTCAGTCCTGTACTTTGCCTTTGCTCTGTTTAGTTGCTTTGCATATTAGCTGCTTTGTAGTGTCAAACGAACATCGATTTAGTCTCTACAAAATTGCTGATGCTTCAAAATCAAAATGAGAATGGGATGTTGAAATGTTGATTGTATATGAAACATTTAATCTTTTTAAAAAAAATTCACTATAATATGAGTGAGATCTTATTGGATAAACTTTATAGCCTCCAAATTCTTATTGGATATTTATTAAAGCCTCCCAATTGTATGAGGTAATTATTTTGATTTTATTAAGAATTAAAATAAAATAAAATAACAGAGCAAAAGTCTCCTTCAAAAATATTTAATCAATTGGAATATATTCCAATTTTAAATACATTTTTTTATTTTAATATTTAATATATTTAGTAAAATAAATATCTAACGCCAAAAAAAAAAAAAAAAGTACAAAAAGAAATAAATATGTAATTATTTATTTTTCAATAAATTTTTTTTAAAGTTTTAATAACTTTTTACAAAATAATTTATTTATAATAATAATAAATAAATAGGGATTTTGGCCAAAATTACCTTTGGTGTTGAAGGATTATCTTATCAAAATAGAAGCGGTGATGGAAGTATCTTCGTGATGTCTTTCTATACATTTTTTTTTTCATCTTTCTATCGGTCTAGTTTTAAATTAAACCATTGATAAGATTATTCATTTATGGCTTTCCATTTAGTTTCTATAACAAAAGGAAGGATTGCAACGTGACCATGTTGGAGGAGAATAGGTCATCCAGTATCAAATATAAGCAAGTTTTCATATCCGGAGATTGTAAGCAAGTTTATAAAATCCTTAAGAGGGAGTCTAATATCAATTATAGCCACTAGCAACCAAACTATTTAGCTTATACTAGTTTGAGACAATACTTCTTACATGGATGTTTGAAAATATTTAATAATCCTAAATGATAGCTCAACATCCATAAGTTTATAATCTGTTCGAGATATTAACAACAATCTATCAAGTACCAGTTCTACAATATTTTATTTCAATACAACTACGATTATTTCCAACAAATAGATACACAAGTTCTGAATTAAGATTTCCAACCAATTCGAATAAATTACATCACATATAGAGTATCAATCACCACTCAACAAAAATTCAGAAAAAGCATTGTAAATTTTATACCGTCAGTTGAATGTTGCCGAGATCAAGCTGAGTAGCGATTTCCTCAAGCTGCTTCTTAACGCTCAAATCAATGAGTTTCGATCCAGAATTTCCAAACCTCACAGTGAATCCAGCCACAAGACTTGGATCAATCTGCGTCTTGATCCTCACATTCTTCGCTCCGCTCAATTTCTGCACCTGCTTCGCGATCTGCGTCAAATGCTGCTCCTCCAATTCCACAACCGAACTCACCACCGCAAGTTCCGTGTTCGTCAATTTGTTGTACACTGTTTCGAACTCCGTCACGATCTCCTTCACGATGTCGATCCTCTTCGCGTCCACCAGGATCTTCAAGAAATTTTCCGTATGCGGCTGTAGAGACAACGACGAAGCGATCTCATCAACCACCTCCAGTTTCTTCTCGACCTTAATCGTCGGATTCGCGAAGAAATCGAACAACTGCGGATCCGCGAACACGCTCTCGATTTTCTCCACATCCGCGCTTGTGACCTCGAGCGTGTCGTTTGAGGCGGCGACTTCCGCAAGCGCGGTGGCGTAGCTTCCGGCAGCGCTGGTGGACATTTTAGTGGCGGCGTGAGAGCGGAGGTGGCCGAGGCGGAGTCGGCGAGAAGGAAAAGTAGCGGAGAAGGAGAGGTTTGCAGGTGTGGTTCGGGAGATTCGAATGGTTGGAAGGAGCTTGGCCTGGAGAGAAGCGGCGGTTTGGTGAAGGGCGGCCATTGTGATGGCTCCGGCGAGGTTTCTCAGATGAGGAATTTGAGTTGTGAGTGTGTGTTGGTTGTGGTAAATTGAAGGCTAAAGTTTTGGCTATGGATTATGTGGTGGAGATGGACGGCTCAGATTAGAAGGAAATAAGGGATCGATGGTTGAGAATTGATGGCTTATCCNAATATCTGAGGTGCTAAGAGGGCTTTGGTTGAATTAGATAAAACTGGACACGTGGAGGCTTGGGATGCGCCATATTTATATATTGCTTCTTTCACGAAACCATTCATTTTGCATACTTTTCTTTTTTTAAAAAAATCAATTTTGTTTGTTTATATATATATTTATATATATCAACAACAGAAGCTTTAATACCATTATTTATCTAGTTTTAGATAATTAACGGTTGCTAAAATAAATTTTTAGTAATTAAGTAATTCATTTATTTAATTTTTTTTTTTTTTTGTCAAAATAAATTAAATATATATTTAAATAAATTATTATTGATTTAATATAATTAATAAATACATGCATATTTGATCCAAAGTTAAGAGCCCACCGTTCTTCACTTTCACCGGAACTCGTCTTTCAGAACTCCATCTTTCAGTCCAATTGGACTAAGAGTTCCTTAAATAAAGAGGTGTGAAATCCTCCTTAAACCAACATACTTCAATTTTAAAATTGATCTAGAGCTCTCGTTCTTCTATGATTCTTGACTTTTCTTTTTTTTTTTCTTTTTCTTTTTGAGAATTCACGAATCTAGACTTGGGAGCAAGTTTCATGAAGAGACCATGGTCGGAAGATGCCTCCTCATAGCTAGATCGAAGCACCTTCAATAAAATTTTTCTCTTTTACTCCATCTAAGCCCCTCAATAAAATTTGTAAGTATGTAATTCTCGGTGAAGTTCGAGTCTTACAAACAATTTGAATTAAGAGAATCATATCAATGTCGGCCCGATAATGCATTTGACCCTATCTATATTGTATGCCCCCACCTTACTCATATGTTGATGTTGATGTGGTCATCGTAAACTGCAAAAAAGAAAACTTAAAATGTGGTGGTTGGGGCGGATATAGTGGGCTCCATGACTTGGATCATCATAGTCCCTCATCACCTCCTTGATTGTTTGTTTTCCTAAAACGTCAATAATTAGAAACAGATGTTTGATTCACTTTTTTTTTTTTATTTAGTTTATACAAAACTCATAACTTCATTTTTTGAAGTGCACGAACTACATAAATCTAGGACTATTTGAATTGGTAGCGTACCTGAATGAGATATGGCTCGAGCAGAGCTGACGAGTGCAAACGAGAGCAAGAGGAAGAGGCAAAGACGAGCTTTAAACTCCATGTTGTTCCTTTGTGTTACTTTGAAAATTAAGATTGATAATCGAGATCGATGAAAATTTTATTAATCAAAGATTTAGGAAAAATAGATGAAAAGGAATAAAGATTTGAGGGGAAAAAAAGGCGAAACCTCGTTATGAAAAATAGATAATCTATTGATTTATTCCTTTTTTAAAATGACTATGATTCCCTTTCCCAATTATAGGAGGTAACAAAAAAAATCTTAGATGTATTTACATATGTACGTATATATATTTAAATTAAGGACTTGCCCTTTGCCAATTATAGGAGGCGAAACCTTGTTAGCTGTACAAAGGTGACTTGCCTTTACCTGAAAATAGAAATAGCACACAACTTGAGTATTTTAAAAAATAATCAGTAAGTGACCCTACTATTAAATTAGGGAAGGCAGACATGGACACATGTAACTCATAATTAGGGACCTATCATTTAAAACCATCATAGAGTTAGCCTTAATAATCATCATCATCATTATTATAGTGTACAAGTTCGTACTCATCATCATAAATGAGGAAGTTATCCGATGTAAATAAACACAAAACATGCATGAGCCTTCTATAGTTTTCATCTTAAATCATTCTTATGACACAACCTTATACATCATTCACATATTACTCTAGGTAACATGCATGTATTGGTCTTCATACATTCATCATCATTGAAGTCATTTAGGGTTGTATCTTAGAAAACATGTTATCATAATGCATCATGGAATTTAGTTCATGCATCTTATCTTAATTATAGAATATCACCATATTAAGCCATATCATCATCATGCATCTTATATCATCATGTTATGATGCATCATTATCCTCATATCATCATATCTTCATCATCATTACATCATCATATCATCATATCTTCATCATCATTACATCATCATATCATCATATCATCATATCATCATATCATCATATCATCATTGATAAGTCATCAATATAAACCTTTAGCCAATATTCTCCTTGCATTTTCTCTATCCTATTCTTTTGTTCATCTAGAAGAGTGTGTGCATTGTTGTGCAATGCTAACAACTAGTATCAGAGCTAGGCGGAAGTCACCATGATTTATGAAGATGGAAAGTTCAGAAATTTGAATTAAGAAGATCGATGGAGCCGATTTCGGTTTCTGGAAGATGCAGATTGAAGATTATTTTTACCAGAAAGATCTTCACGAACCCCTTTTGGGGGTGAAGCCGAATACCATGACCACGAAACAGTGGAAGTTCAAGGATCGACAAGCCTTAGGGTTGATCCGGTTGACGCTATCCAAAAACGTGGCGTTCAATAGCATCAAGGAGAAGACAATGTCAGATCTGTTAAAGGTGTTGTCAAATATGTACGAAAAATCATCGACTATAAACAAGGTGTATTTGATGCGAAGATTGTTCAATCTACAAATGTCTGAAGGTGGATCTGTTGTTCATATAAATGAATCCAATATGATCGTAAGTCAACTGAGTTTGGTGGAAATTAATTTCGAGGATGAAATTAAAGCATTGATTTTGATGTAATCTTTACCCGAGTCGTGGGATACTGTTGTTGCTGCAATCAACAATTCTCGAGAATCTGATAAACTAAAGTTTGATGAAATTCGAGATTTAGTTCTCAACGAAAGTATTGGCAAACAAGAAATTGGAAATTCATCTAGTAGTGCTCTCAATGTTGACCAACGGAAAAGAAGTAAACCGAAGAGCCCAACAAAGGGCGATCAAAATCAAAGAACCGAGAAAATTCTTCAAATAGACCAAACGTAACGTGTTGGAATATTGGAGAAAAAGGTCACATTCGGAAAAATTGTACAAGACCAAAGAGGAAGCAGAATCACAAATCTGGAGATGATGATTCTATAAATTCAGCAGAAAACATTGGTGATGCTCTAATCCTCAACGTGGACAGTTCGATTGAATCCTGGATTTTGGATTTAGGTGCATCTTTTCATTCGTCTCCAAATAAAGAGTCGTTCCAAAATTTCAAGTCTGAAAATTTCGAGAAAGTGTATCTTGCCGACAACAAAGATTTGGAAATTAAAGGAAAAAAGGGGATGTCTGCATAAAAACTCCAGCAGGAAATCAGTGGACATTAAAGGATGTTAGATATATTCCTGGTCTCAAGAAGAACCCGATTTCTATTGGTCAATTGGATAGCATAGCTTATGCAACAGAGTTAGGGAAGAGTCCGTGGAAGATTATGAAGGGTGCTATGGTGGTAGCACGTGGCATAAAATCTGGAACTTTATACACCACTACAGGGTGTAAGAACATGGTTGTTTTTGCTGAGAGTGCTTCAAATTCAAGTCTATGACACAATAGACTTGAACATATGAGCGTGAAAGGAATGAAGATGCTGGCTGCGAAAGGAGTTTTAGAAGGTCTGAAATTTATTGATATGGGTCGTTGTGAGAACTACATTATGAACAAGCAGAAACGAGTTAGCTTCACAAGAACTATCAGAGAATTGAAGAAAGTGTGGTTGAAAATGATCCATACAAATGTGGAGCAAGGTTCCAAGACCACAAAGCAAGTGGGATATGAGCTTGAGTTGCAGGGAAACTCACCTAGTGATGTTGTAGCAGATACTCATGAAACTCCTGAGACTATTGCTGAGGAACCAGATGTGGAGCAAGGTTCCAAGACCACGAAGCAAGTGGGTGTTGAACTTGAGTTGTAGGGAAACTCACCTAGTGATGTTGTAGCAGATACTCATGAAACTTCAGAGACTACTGCTGAGGAACCAGATGTCGAGCAAGGTTCCAAGACAACGAAGCAAGTGGGAGTTGAGGTTTGCGAAAAAAATCACCTAGTGATGTTGTAACAGATACTCAAGAAACTCCTGAGACTGTTGTAGAGGAACCAACGGTAGAGCAAGTGACACCTGAACTGGTGTTGAGAAGATCATCCAGTACTATCAGAGTACCAGATATGTATGTACCTTCATTACACTATCTGTTGCTGATGAAAGGGAACTAGAGCCCTTTGATGAGGCCCTATAGTTGGAGGACACAACCAAGTGGGAGCAAGGATGATGGGATGTTTGGGCTTCAAAAATGCGTTGTATTGAGGCTGAGTACGTGATAATAAGTGAAGCTAAAAAGAAGACGTTGTAGATGACCGACTATCTGGAAGAATTGGGCAAGAAGCAGCACGAAAAGAATCTTTATAGTGATGGTCAGAGTGTGATACAGTTAGTGAAGTACACGGTCTATCATTTAAAGACTAAACACACAAGGCGATATCATTTTACTCGCAGGTTAGTGGAAGATGGTGATGTGTTTGGAAAAGATAGAGGGTGCAAAGAATCCAACATGTTGACAAAATGTGTTGTTGAAATATTGAGGTTGTGCAAAGCCTCAATTGGTATAGTGTAATGAAGATGCTCATGATCGTTTGAGAATGAAATTCTTGGTTGACTAGATCCGTCTACAACGGAGAGAATTGTTAGGTTATGGAGTCTGCTGCTTATTTATAGCTTAGTTAACGGTTATACATAGTAAAACTATATTTGGTAAATGACCTATAAAGTAAATTATAAATAAAAGCTATATTTGGTAAATGACTAAATTGTAGAGTTATGTACAGTAAAAAACTATCGATTCAATAGATAGTTATATATAGTATACGGTTATATCTGGTAAAACTATATATAGTAAGCTAAAGCATATATATCCGTTACATAAGAACTTTGAAAATATACTTTATGTTCTCTCTTACTCTACATGTCTCAAGT